GAGATGAAACAAATGTCCCCAAACATCAGATATGATTATTTTGAGTAAGGGGAATATAGGCTATCGTCTTGCTTCTGGTTATTTGTAGTAGATGATGCAGCTAGGATTCTTGTCTATAGGCTACCACTAGCCCGCATCACCTCCTTCATGGTCCAGGTGACTTTGAATTCCTAGAAACAGCCATGCCTCTGAAGCTGTGGCGCTCTGTTTGGATTTCCTCATCCCATGAACTGGTTAAGATGATTTGAGGTGGGTTTGTGTATGTCAATGAATGGTGCTCACTGGGGTCTAGGTTCAGGGGCTTCATTATACTAGTGTCACTACTTAAAAAAAAATCCCATTGAAACAGTGAATGGTGATTAGCAGTATTATCTGATGTAGAAGTTCAGAAATGTGTCGGTCAACTTGGCAATGTTCTGGGGGGCTTTTTAAGAGAATGTTGTGGAGAAAAGCCAGAAAGCCAAGGGGAGAAATGTGGGGGTGTTAGGAGTGAGGAAGGTGGAGACATCAGTACAGATGTATGTTCTTGAAAATTTTGGGGTGCTTAGGAAATAAAGAATAGTAATTGAAAGGAGTTTTGATTAAGTAAATTGTTGTCTTATATATATTTGAAATATTTTTTCACTTAAAAGTAATACAAATTGAAAGTTGGAAAAATAAAGAAGAGTGGAAAGACAAAAACCATCACCCATTGTTCTATTGAGAAAGGACACCTGTTATTAGTGTTTTTGTGGGGTTTCTGTCAGTCTTTATTCTTTACCTGTTTATATCTACACATCAGAATCTACTTCATGCACAGCTCTGTTGTCTGCTTTTTACACTGCATATTATTTCCTTGTGTTGATAGCATCATATAATAATGATAGCATCTTATAATTAGAGTATCTCATTGTAGCTGTCTCATTGTATACAAAGCCATTTTTTCATTGGGATAATCAAGCTGAGGGAATGAGATCCCAGGGAAGGGGACAGTAGAGAGAGGGACAAGGACCCCAGTCCAGGTTAGCACTGGAAGGGAGGAGTGAGGCCAGGCCTCACTTGAGGAGTTGTGTTGGAAGACGAGTGAAGGATAACTGGAGACAAATTTTGAATTTGAGAAGGTTGCTGTTGAAGAAATCATGTCAGAGGGCCTCTGTAAAGGAAGAGAAAATTTAGAACAGCTGAGATGGGGAATTTGGTTGGGAGTTGACAAGAAGTGGGTTGAAAGGGTTTTCTGAGGAGCAGTGAGGGAATACAGCTGAGCCTGGGATTACTTGAGGCCAACTTTTCCTGAATTAATCAGGCACTGAACTCCTTCCTGATTAAGGGTAGGATTGGGTGCAGTATTTGGGATGAGTCTGCTACACTGGTTAGAATCCTTAATGATGGAGGTAAACGGCTTGGTGGTTAAGAAGGTGGTCTCAGGGACAACTGCCTGGATCTGAATCCTGGGTCTGCCATTTACTTGTTGTGTGGACTTTGGCAGATTCCTAACTTCCTTCTGTGTTGATTTCTTCACCTGTGTTATATACAGTGATATTAATATCTATTTCTTGATATTTGTTAGGGTTAAATGAGAAAATCTATGTTAAGCATTTGCAACAGTGCATGGAACATAATAAATATTAAATAAATATTAGCTATTATTATGATTGAGTTGGTTGCAGGTAACAGAAACTCAGTACAACTAGATTAAGGAAAAGGAATTTATTGACTCTTACAACTGAAAAGTATAAGAAACCAGGCATTGCTCGATCCATTTTATTCTCTGAAATGTCTTGAGACTTCACTTTCTTCTGTGTTGGTTTACTTCTCAGGCGGGCTGTATGGAAGATGACCACCAGCTTCTCTGTACTTACATCCTATTAGCTGGGCAATGCCAGCAGGAGACTGAGAACCTTTTCCCTGAAAACTCCAGCAAAGACTTTGGAGCTATTCTTATTGACCTGAGTGGTGTTCCCAGCCCATCAGTGATATGACTACTGTGGCCAGGGGAATTCAGTGCTGTCACTGGCCAGGTCTGAGTCATACTTAACCTTTAGAGCTGAATCACATGGTCTGAGGGTAAGAAAATGAAGTGCTTTTATTAGAAGAAGGATAAAGGATACTGGGCAAGCAGGAAGTCATTTCCACTCTACCAGTGGAATGGGCAAAGTGGAGAAGGACTGTGGAGAAGGCAGGCAAGCAGAAAGAGAAACTGTGCCGGGTGGTGAGGCTCCTAGGTTAGTGAGAGAAGGTGGAGGGTGGTAGGGTAGGGTCATGGAGGGTAGTAGAACTGATTCCCAAAGTATGTTCCATTGATTGCCAATTCAAGCAAATGTTTTTTTTTTCTTTAAAGGTTTTATTTATTATTCATGAGAGACACAGAGAGAGAGGCAGAGACACAGGCAGAGGGAGAAGCAGGCTCCCTCTTGGGTCCCTTGGGACTCAATCCCGGGACCTTGGGATCACATCCTGAGCTGAAGGCAGGCGATGCTCAAACACTGAGCCACCCAGGCGTCCCTCAAGCAAATGTTAACAGGGGTTTTTGTGACAAGAGTTCCATGGAGGAGGAAGTCTGGAAAATGCCAGTATCTGTACTACAAGATTTTTCTTACTTTTAACACACTTTTGTACCTGGTGATTCTTAGGACAGAGGTATAGGATCTGTGATTCCCAAACATGCAGGATTCTTTTTTTTTTTAATTTTTTTTAACTTTTATTTATTTATGATAGTCACAGAGAGAGAGAGAGAGAGAGGCAGAGACACAGGCAGAGGGAGAAGCAGGCTCCATGCACCGGGAGCCCGACGTGGGATTCGATCCCGGGTCTCCAGGATCGTGCCAAAGGCAGGCGCCAAACCGCTGCGCCACCCAGGGATCCCAACATGCAGGATTCTGGGGCCCTTAATCAATGGAGCATTTTGTAGGGTTAGTATCTATGGACCACATTTTGAGAAACATGGTAGAAGAGGATGGTGATGAGGTGGGGAGTGGAAGAAGGGATTTTTGGATTGTTTGCAGGGGGACAGTGGTCTGCAGGTGGCTGTGGGCACTGAGGAATGGACCCCTTCTCCTTAAGTATGGAGTCAGAGGCGTAAGAGAAGGTAGGGAGGGTGGGGTGTTAAGGAGTGCAGGAACTGGCAAAGGTATATATTGGCAAGAGTGACGGGGCTTGTATGGAGGGGGCCCTGGAGCTGGGGGGAGGGCAAGATCTCAGGTGGGACAAAACTAGAGTTGTGGGGGACCCCTGTCTCTTAGGAAGCTTGGAGCTCTTTTAGCCGTTTTAGGTCTAGCATTTTTTAAACCTATTTATTATTATTTTTTTAAATTTATTTATTCATAGAGACACAGAGAGAGGCAGAGACACAGGCAAAGGGCACCATGCAGGGAGCCTGACGTGGGACTCGATCCAAGGTCTCCAGGATCACGCCCTGGGCTGTAGAGAGCGCTAAATCGCTGTGCCACCTGGGCTGCCCCAGGTCTAGCATTTTAATCAGAACGTGGTCACTGAGCTGGATTTGGGAAAATTGGCTTCTCAAGAAAAGTGCGGGTAAGTCATTTAACTGACTGTGGATGAAGCTGAATATGGAGACTTGGGGGCCAGGAGAGCCTGAGGAGTTGATGGCACTATGTTTGGGGAATTACCAACAGAGCTGAGCTGTAGAAAGGACTGACTCTTAACATCCACAGCATAGCAGGGATTCTGGATGCACAGACTTGCTCCACCTTTCCCTCCTCTCCCTGTGTCTTCTGATTTTTGTTATGTTAGATTTGACATTGTCACGACCTATACTGTTTTAACCTCAGTTTCTCACATGTCCTAGATTCTGCTCTGTAGTTAGCTGCATTCAGTTTTTACTGCCAGGTCTTGTACAGCACAGCCCTTATACTCACAAGGTGTTTTTTTTTTTTTTTTTTTACCTCTTTTGGATTCATTTACTAGGAAGGGTTTGATGGGAGCTACCTTTCTGAGACCTTCTCTGTTGTCTTATATGTGATAACACCTCAGCTGGGTTAATAAACATTTTGGGTCACATTCTGCTCACCCCCACCCCCTGAATTCTCTAAGAGAATTTCGACATTGATTGTTGCAGAGAGGAGTATGCAGGCAGCCTGACTGTGCCCCCCTGTAGCTGACTCGATTTCTCTGCCCATTGGAGTCTTGACTTCTTGAGTGAATTGTTCTGAGAGGAGAAATTACCCTTTGTAATGCAATTTCAGATATATCTTTATTTTAGAATATTGTCTTCTCTTATATCTTTGACTACTTCTCTGCGTTCTGACTCATTCTGTTGCTGTTGTTCTTAAAGAGTTGGGGTGTATTCGGAGCCTTGGTTCCCCAGAATCTCATCATATTCTTTGTGTAGATTTCCTTTGGGAACCAGGAGCCATGGGCTTGAAGCTGCTCCTGCCACTTCAGCTCTTAACTTGCCATAGGGGTCAGGTGTAAAACGGCAGAGTGCTCTGTGCATTGCTACATGGGCTCTGAGCAAAGCCGGCCACCCCATCATCTCATTGTCATGTTTGTTGGGGTACCTAATAATTGGTACTGTTTGTTGAATACTCCTGTGTGTTCCTTTTTCAGGAGAGAAATTTTTGTTGTAAAAGGGGAGAAGTGAGGTGGTCTCTGGAGGGAAAAATGGGGTTAGGGAAGGCTACTTTTTTTTTTTAAGAGTTTGCTCATATGTTGACAGGGGTGATCCTGTTGAGAGGAGGAACATGATTCATGGGAGAGAGAGGAAAGAGAGCTGAAGCCATATCCTCAACTAGGCAAGAAGGTGTAGACTTAAAGCACAACTGGGAAGATAGGCTATATTAGACATTTTGCTGAAATCTGTATATCCTGTACTTGCAGGACCCTCCAGACCCCACCCCTTAGGAGGGTGGCAGCAGGTATGGGGGAAGAACCTGAGGCTTTACCATTTACCAGCAAGAGACTAGATCCTCCATGGCCCTGTGCTTCTTGCAGAGGAACCTAGGACAGACTGGGTAGCCTCTCTGAGACTGGATTTCAGTCTCTCGTAAAATGCCAATGATCCTGTGCTTGCTTTGGCAGCACATTTACTAAAATTGGGATGATACAGAGATGATTAGTGTGGCCCCTACTCAAGGATGATATGCAAATTTGTGAAGCTTCACATATTTTTAAAAATAAAATAAAATGCCAATAATCCCAAGTATTAAGTAAGTGTTAAATCAAACAATGTAAGCAGAACATAAAGAAAACAAAAGTGACTTCAGTTCCACCATACATACTTGAAAATAATATTCTTTATATATTGTTATGTTACATGCTTTTAGCACTTAAATACATTAAGGACAATGTTCCATGTCATTTAATGTTTTCCTATAACACCATTTGAAAAAAAAATGTGTGTAGGTCACTCCAGCAGAAGGACTTAGCAGTTTTTTTTAAAAAAATTTATTTATTTATTCATTCATGAGACACAGAGAGAGAGAGGCAGAGACACAGGCAGAGGGAGAAGCAGGCTCCATGCAGGGAGCCTGATGTGGGACTCGATCCGGGGACTCCAGGATCACACCCTGGGCTGAAGGTGGCGCTAAACCTGAGCCACCCGGGCTGCCCCAGGACTTACCAGTGTTAAACAGTTCCTGAGTATTGACAGCATGTAAGTTGCTCCTTACTACTTTCTCTTCTAAGTGGCACTGTCCTGAACTTCCTTGTGGTTGTGTTTTCAAATGCATCCATGCTTATTTCCCCAGGGCAGTTTTCTGGCAATGGAATTTTAGCTGAGTGGTAGACAAACTGACACTATCCTGCAGATTTGGGGTGGGTGATATTCTCAGATAGGCAGAGTGCCCTCAAGCAGCACCCACAGGGTGCTGATAAATGGGCTGCTGTCACCCTGGAAGCAGGGCTCTGGGGGGCCAGCGATTAGTCTCTAGATGTGGCCTGTCCCCTTCAACGATTTAATTGCTGTCCCTGTTGAAGTCACAAGGGCAAGCTAATCAAACACGAGGAAGCTGTGAGGTTGAGAGAGAGACAGAGAGATGTTGAATGATGGAGTTGAGATGCAGGGGAGACCCTGACTGGTAGGAGGAATGGGCTGAAACAAGCAGGAGAAACTGACTAGGGCAAACTGTCCTGTCAGAAGAATGGTAACTGCTCACCAGCCTAGACCACTCATGGGACATTAGGGGAGAGCTGACGAGTATCAGGTGACAAAAAAAGAATGCGATTGATGGTATGTGGTTGCCCCTCAAACTCATGCAAAACAACCCAATAACCTCAGGATGTGTCAGTGTGAGTATAGCGTCCAGACCATGGGGAATGTCGATAGCTGGAGCTCACACAAAAGATGTTCAGGCTGGTGAATGATCTAGACCACGGTTGTTCAGTAGAAATATGATGTAAGCTCTCTCACTCACTCACTCTATCATCTATTTAAAATTTAAAAATTTCTGGTAGCCAATAATAGATTTTAGGTAACCTGATATATTCAAAACATGTTCATTTTCAGTATTAATCAATAAAAATAAATTACTTTTTTAAAAAAAGATTTTATTTATTTATTCATGAGAGACACAAAGAGAGAGAAAGGCAGAGACAGAGAGGGAGAAACAGGCTCCATACAGGGAGCCCGACCTGGGACTTGATCCCTGGTCTCCAGGATCACACCCTGGGCTGAAGGTGGCGCTAAACCACTGAGCCACCTGGACTGCCCAATAAATTACTTTTTAAAAAAGATTTTATTTATTTATTCATGAGAGATCCAGAGAGAGAGGCAGAGACATAGGCAGAGGGAGATGCAGGCTCCCTGCGGGGACCCTGATCTGGGACTCAATCCCAGGACCTCAGGTTCACGCCCTGAGCCAAAGGCAGATGCTCAACCACTGAGCCACCCAGGCGTCCCTATAAATAAATTTTAATGAGGTATTGCAATCTTTTTTCCCCAAGTACTGTCTTTGAAATCCAATATATATTTTACACTTCCAGCCTATCTCAATTCATATGCTAAATTTCACTGGTTAAAATACAATAGAGGCCCGCCAAAACAATAAATTGTGTTTAATGGAAAAATGTTTAATACTTTAATTTTAATTAAGTTTAATTAAATTTAATTATAATGCTTTATTTTTTTAAATTTACATTTAAATAATTAAAATTAAATGAATAAAAACTGAGTTCCTCACTGGCATGAGCAACATCTCATATGCTCTATAGTCACATGTGGCCGGTGGATATCGGGCAGCACAGGTCTGTGCTCTGAGGTTCCTACTCTAAATGTGGTCTATGTATCAGCAGCATCCAAACTCCCTGGGGGAACTGGTTAAAGATGCGAGTCTCAGGCCCCATCCAGACCTTCTGAGCTGAAGCTTGCATTTCAGCAAGTTCTCTGAATGATTTCTGTGCTCACTACAGTTTGAGAAGCAGTGGTTAGATGTTGGGCCATGATTTGGGGAATGTGTGAAGCAAATGAGTATTATTTTGCATGGAAAATGAAGCCTCCAGGAAGCTGTACAATGACCTTCACATGTTTGAAGACCTGTGTATAGAAGGTGAGGGAGATGTAGAGAGGTAGTCCCAAGTGGAAGAACAAGGACCACAGGTGGAGGTGGGGCTGGAGTGGGAGAAAGGAAACCAAACTTTTTATTTTATTTTTTATTTTGTTTTTTATTTATGATAGTCACACACACACACACACAGAGGCAGAGACACAGGCAGAGGGAGAAGCAGGCTCCATGCACCGGGAGCCCGATGTGGGATTTGATCCCGGGTCTCCAGGATCGTGCCCTGGGCCAAAGGCAGATGCTAAACTGCTGTGCCACCCAGGGATCCTGGAAACCAAACTTTTTAAAGCTTCAATAGTTAACTATTCCACTGAATCCTTTTTTTTTTTTTTTTAGATTTTATTTATTTATTCATGAGAGACACACAGAGAGAGAGGGAGAGAGGCAGAGACACAGGCAGAGGGAGAAGCAGGCTCCATGCAGGGAGCCTGACGTGGGACTCGACCCTGGGTCCCCAGGATCACACCCTGGGCTGAAGGTGGTGCTAAACCAATGAGCCACCCAGGCTACCCTGTTTTTTTTTTTTTTTTAAAGATTTTATTTATTCATCACACACACACACACACACACACACACACACACACACACACACACAGAAGCAGAGACAGGCAGAGGGAGAAGCAGGCTCCATGCAGGGAGCCCGACATGGGACTTGACCCTGGGTCCCCAGTATCACACCTTGGGCTGCAGGTGGCGCTAAATCGCTGCGCCCCCGGGGCTGCCCTGTTTTTTGTTTTTTTTAACATTTTATTTATTTATTTATTTATTTGAAAGGGTGGGGGGTGGAGGGGCAGAGGGAGAGTGTCTCAAGCAGACTCTGTGCTGAGCACAGAGCCCCACTGAGGGCTTGATTTCATGACCCTTAGATCATGACCTAAGCTGAAAGCAAGAGTCAGATGCTTAACTGACTGAGCCACCCAAATAAGTACAGCTTTCACTGAATCCCTATAATAACATAACTGGACTGAGAGGTAAGTCAGATCTTCCAAGTCTACAAAGTCACCCCTCCCCTAATTGCTGTGCATCCTGGAGGAAGAATTATTTGGCCACTCGGAGCCTCAGCTTACTGTCTGTAAGATAGGGAAAATAATAACACCCCTCCAGGGATCATGTGAAGACCATGGAGGCAAGGACCATATTTGCCGTGTTTACTACACCATCTCTGGGCTTTGCATAGACCTGGCACAGACTCAGCCCGCAGTAACGATTTCTTTGTCAACTGGCAAAGCTCTGACTTGTGAACGATGGCCATTACTACTACTAGCAGGCTTGTGGTTTGAGGTGACAGGTTGTGTTTTTCAATAGACACAAATGAACCCAGCCCTTGAAAGCTTGTTTTTTTATTTACAGTCTCGATTGATCTGGATCGATCTATATCCTCAAACCTTTTCATCAAGAGAGTGAAAACGGAAAAGCAAGGAGGCGGGTGGTTCTGGGTTCCTCCACCTTCTCTTGCTCAGTGGGCAGTGATGGGCCTCTGGCCACTTTTATGCTATAGGCACAAAATATCTCTAAACATGGTACCAGGTCACTCCGAAGAGGGAGAGTAACCTAGCCCATCAAAGCATTTCTCTGCAAAAGACCTCATCACAGATTCACTAAGCCACATCTGTGCTTCTGTCAAGTAAACAAAGAATATCTACTGCTCTCAGGCAGGCACTAACATTAGCCGAGTGAGGGCTCTTTGGGGACCAGGGAAAGGAGGTTCGCATTTGAAAATGAACCACTGTACATGGATTTATAGCTCTGCTTTTCCGATGGAGAGGGGGAAATATTTTTCTCTGGGAGATTGGAATTTACTAGTGGATTCAAGTGTAACTTTGGAGAGTGGCAGAGGTATTAGACGTGGCAGTATCACAGTATTGTTTTATTGGCAATTAGATTTCAAACTGGCACAAATGTATGAAAATAAGTCTCAATTATGGGCCTGTGAAGTTTCTCCACCATCTGTCAACAGTTTGCTCCTTATGCCGTAACATGTGTACCTTTGGAGGGGAAATGATTTAATAGCCCAAGTGAAGAGGTACAGCTCACCAAATTATATTGGAGTTTATAGCCAATGCCTGCATTTGTGATTTCTGATGCAGAGAAGGCAAATTTAAACTTGTGCGCATGCACACATGCGCACACACACACCACCTTTCAGGGGTCTCACAGATTCACAGCTGTCAGAGAGGCAGGTACTTCGAAAGGAGTGAGCCCAACTTCCCCTCTTTACAGTTGTGAAAAGTCCAGTCCCAGAGAGGTCCACGGACTTGTCCAAGTGACACTATGACATGGGGCAGAGCTAGAACTGTAACTAGCAAGCATCAGAGTTAGGGGCAGTGGTGTGATGGTAAATGCAGGACAACTGGCTCACTGGGGAAATGAAAACCCTGATGTGCCCTGCCTGCCTATTCCTTTGGTATAGACACTGCCACAATGGCTGATTTAATACCACCAATGTGATGTCACTGAATGTGGAGTTTGGAAGAGATGCGTATGATCATCTCTCGTGAACCAGTGGGAGCCAGCTTCAGTGTAGCACTGGTAAGGGCAATTGCTGGTTTGCCTGTCTGGAATCTGTTTTCCATTCTGGTAAGAGTCCTCTGATTTTTCTTGAAGGTATCCACCT